GATTTTATAATAATATTTATAGTTCACTGTGTGAGTGTTCATGCATCTGTGTGTGCACGTAAGGGAAAAGATGCATACAAAGTCACAAGGCGTGCATCTGACACTGCTAATAGTTGGAAAACTTGCAAGTGTTTCCTGCTGTCATCAGATGAGATTATGTAGGGGTTTTTTTTCAAAGAGCTTCTCATAAAAAACACACTAGCAGAAACTTTGATTAAAGGGATCTGAATGTTGGAATAATTATGTCTTTGAGCTGTCTTCGTGTCAGCCATCCTGAAATACTTTGTTAAAGCATGTATTTTAAAAAACCCACACTTCCATTCCGGCGTACACTTTCAGTAGTATTCAGAAGAGATCTACGCTGTACAGTCGCGGTTTTGGTGCTTTGGGGTTTGATTTTTATCGGACAGTTCCCTAGTTGTAATTCTGGCCTCACATTTTTGTATGTGACTAATACTCATTCTGATCCGGAAAGGCAATAGCTAAGAAAGTGGTTTCACAAGTGGCTGACACATTGCCACCTTACCCCTGGTCCTGACAGCGTGTCAGGGTTCTGCCTCGCGCCCGGGCCGGTGTTGGTGTGTCTGTGGGGTCCGCCCAACCCAGGAGCTGCTCTGGCACCCGCACCGCTCAGACGCTGGCACAAGCAGGGCAACGGGGGGAAAGCAGGACAGCTTCTTTGGTGGCCGCCCATGCTTAGCTCATCTTCAGATGATTATGAAACCTCAGCCTGAGTGAGTTTGCGTTCATGCTTGGATTTCTGTGTTCTGTGAGATTCAGAGCTTTACCGTGGGTGGAGAATCTGCCATTGCTCAGTGCTCCAGCGCATTGTTGTCCTAAGCCTGGTGTCATTGTTCTGGGGTGACAACACAGGTGGAAAATGAAAGATAAATAACAACTTGCAAGTGTCAAGTTCTTGTCCTCTTTTCTGTGTACGGAATTTGTGGTGGCAGCGCGGATTCCGGAGGATATTCAGCAGACTGGAATGCAGCGGCTGCAGACAGCGAGACGTCCTGTGTATAGATTTATAAATGGGCTGTAGGGGAGGTGGAATGCTTTATAGGAGCTGCCTGTAGTAACCCTTAAGTGTACGACGATCAGATGTCAGTGTGCGTTTGGTTAAGGCTAAGAACGTTTTAAAGGGGGGGAAAAAAAAAAGAAAATCTAGTAAATGCATACACACTATATCTGTTTTTCAGAGTGCAGGCAGGTATGCTAAAGCTGCTTCTGCTGTATGTGAAATGCCCTTAGTTGGGTGGAACCCGGCAGCCTTGCGCATTGTGTCAGTGATCCAATGCAACTCTAACAGTAACCTCCTAGCACCATTCCTTCAGTTCGTACACGATTGCCCTTGTGTGGGGTGGGGTTTTTGTGGTGCCAGACGTTCAAAGCAGAATCGCAGCCTTTGTCAAGGCTCACTAACAAAAAGTCGCTGTGAATTAAAACTGGTAGTTCTATGAATAAAGCAACATAGATTTTATGTAGATATAGCTATACAGAAATATATCTAATTTCTTATACTGAGAAGAGACTGCCTGTGTGTCTGCAGATATGTGCATATAGTATTTAGGAGTTGTGGGATTAATGGGTATTCCAGGGTTTGCAGAGATTCAGTGCCATATCTAGCATGACAACAGTGAAAACGCAGCACTCTGGTTCTGTCACTTCCCAGCACTGGTGCTTGGACCTGGCAGACCGGGGGTTGTTACCACCACGGATGGGGATGTCTTCGTGCTGTTGTGCATTCCCTTATTTCACCAGAGGAGTCCATAACCAGGTGCAAGCACATTTGATGGTGATTCCACATCTGTCAGTCATTTTGGTGGATGGAAAAAACCTAACCTGTGGATATACTGCTATCTTCAGTTTCCTTGATAATGTTGCTGAAATACAAAATAATTTATAAGGCAAACTATTGGATAAAAGTGCTTATTAGAATGATAATGCTATCAAGTAGCCTGTCTTGTATGTAGACAGTTTGCCGTCTGCTTAATATGTCTGGTAGTCCAGATGCATGAGATACTGAGCATGTTGATATGTAATGGTCTGGTATGCAGTGGGAAGTTTATTTTTCTTATAGACTTAAATAATACAGAGATTGTGCATTCTCTGTGCACATGAAATACTGAAAACCTTTTCATCCATCTGCTGGGTCTGAATGTTAAAAGTTCTTTCAGCTGGAAATGCAAGATCTAGTCAGGCTACAGAAGCATATATAAACAATGTTCACAAATTTCAGTGGAGTTGAAGTGAATCTCGGCATCATTTGGGCTGATCTTCTGGCTTATTTGGAAGATTACGATAAAACCCAAGATTGAATTCTCTACTTGATTCAGTTTCTTATTGATTGAATCCTTTTAGACTCCTCTCTAATTTAACAGTGTATTTTTATTAAAGCCAAGCATACAAACATCAATTATCCAAGCTGCATCTAATTTCCTTCGTTTTTTTTTCCTTTTGCTGCCAATGGATTAGAAGACCTGATTAGAATTCAGCTTGAAAGCTGAAAAGCAGATCCTTAAATGAGAATGTCTGCATTAGGAATTAAAATATCTGTACTGGGCATAAAATCCTCCTCCTTATCTCTAATAATGTAAACACACTTGGTTAAGGTGATCTGTCACATGCCTGGTGCAATGTCCCTGAATTAGGAGCATGTGGTAGAAAGGGCGGAATGGTGTCTGTGGCTTGTCCCGCTGCTAGAATCCATCCCCAGTATATTTTAACTTCAAAGTGCTTTGCATAGATACCGCTCTGCCGTAAGGGTTAATGTCATAAGAGTTTGAAGGGCTCTATTTTTTTCTTTACCTCCTAACACCAGGAATGTTCACATGTGCGCAAGCAGTAGGAGCAAGGCAGAGAAGGGGCCTTCTCTGGTTTCACTGTTGGTAGATTCTGCAAAGTTAAGGATTTTATAACAATGCAAAGGTGAACTGTATAATTGCAATGGCGTCACCAACTCAATATCCAAAAAACTGCACTGGTAAATGTGTGCATTTAACATGGCATTAAAGTGTTGGCCCATGTCTAAACTGTAAGAAACAGTTATAAAAATAATTGTATGTTTTGATTTAACTGGGTTGTTAATTTTCTGCTGATACCTAGTGTGCTCTGCCTGTGATGAGGAAGCCACGTCATGAGCCATATGCATGCTCTTACTGTGCAGGCCCTATGAACTGGGGCAGCTGGTGTCATGTGTACCAAATCATTGGACCTAATTACAGAGGGAGAAATTTGAATATCAGGATTTCTAAGGGAGTTTATTATTAATTATTGTTTTACCTGTATGGCATTAGAGATGATTTGTGCTTTGGAAATGCACACGAGAATACTGTGTATAGTATCAGGATGCCCAGAAGAGCGAGGAAATCTTAATTGGATGGACTCCACTGCACATAGTAAGAGGAGAAAAGTAGCAGGGGCAGGCAGCATCCTCGCACGGCAGCACTGGAAAACCAGATGAAAGAGCTGGTGTATAATAAGCTGAAGAGGAGAAAATGGCGCGGCGTCCCGTGTGGTCAGATGGGAACTGTTCTGGCCACGCTTGGGCGGCACCATGAGAAGTCTTGGAGCTGGGAGCAGCAGCAGGTGATGAGAGAGATGTCAACAAAGTAGTCCCATTGCCATCTTCATTTGATGACTGTTCTGCTAGCACTGGAGCTCTACAGCGCAATGTGAACGCAGCGTATGTTTACAGCAAGGGATAATTTTGCGGTCTGGGGTACTGCCGAAGGATACTGGTGAGCTGATTTCGTGTGGGGAGGAAAGTATTGGTTGAGATTTTTTTCTTTTTCTTGCTGCATTGCAGCTGGCAATATTACTAACGGTGGTGAGCTTTCGATCTGCGTGTGACTGCACATCACAGGAGTTACTTGTCACGTTTTGTGTGCACAGAACTATTAAACCTGATCGTGCAGAACAATAAACGTGCATGACTGCAGGGAGTTTTCTTGGTGCTGGTTTGCGTCTGGCTACCAGGAGGTGGGCAAAGTGAATCTGTTCATCTTGTGCAATGAGTTAAGCATAACTGCAGTTGACATCACGCACCAGTGAAATCCAGTGATACTCTATTCCTTCAGACCTTATCCCCTCTTCATCTTGTCTTCTTTTGAGTCAAAATGATTCTGGCAAAGCTGGTTTGTGACACCCCGTGCAGTTTATCGTTGAGTACCTGGAATGTTGTGGATTAGCCCCACTGTGGAATGAGAAGCACCATGGCTGCATCTGTGCGGTGTCCCCCTCATCTTAACCAGCCATGGTAGGAAGCCTGGTATATGAACTTGGCTTCGATATTATACTGCCTTAGCAAGTGGAAAGAAACCATGTTAATATCTTGTATGTATTAATGTCTTCTGTGTTGTGAAGGACAATTTAATTGTGAAATGGGTGCAGGAATTTCAGTTTTCAGAAACTGATGAACAACATTTTCTTGATATTATCAATCTATTGTAATGAATGCTCTTCATTACATGCCTCTCTGTTAATTAGAAAGGATTTTTACTCCTCTTTATCAAGTCAGGGCCAGTATATTACCTTTTCCTCTGTACTGCTCATGATAAAGTGCGTATCCAGATTGTGAAGTGTCCACATAAATATTTCATTGCATGTGCATATGCACATTGATACACTGTGTTTTCAGAGCTCCAACCTCTGATAATTATTCAATACATTAAAAAAATCCAAAATATAGATTGTTTAATCTCTTTTTATTTATGCTTATCAGCAGAAATTCCCCTTTTCTGTGTTATATTTTTTTAATGACGTTGTAATGCAAATTTAGACCAAGGCAATTAATGACTGCTACAGACTGCAGAAACAATAGACTTGGAATCAAGTTCTCTGAGGATGGACCTGAAGCTTGTACCTTCCATAAATGAGAACCTGCCTTACAGAGGGCAATTTGTACCCTGTTTTGAATAATTTATGTGTGTTTATTTAAAAACCAAACCAAAACACAAACAAAAACCCCACCTGTTTCCCATTCTGTTTCTTTCCTACAGGTTGAAGCAATACTCGTAAACATCTTTGGTGGGATCGTGAACTGCGCCATTATAGCCAACGGCATTACCAAAGCCTGCCGAGAGCTTGAGCTGAAAGTACCGCTGGTGGTCAGGCTGGAAGGTGAGTGCTAGTGGTTTCGGACAAAAAATGGCCCTCGGGTGTGCAGTAATCCACTTGGGCTTGCTTCGATCGCTGAGCTCTAAACAGAGGAGTCCCACGCAATATGAATATGTCCAATTCTTCATCCACAGCATGACCTGAAAGTCAGTAAACTCTTTCCTTACATATTTCTGTGTCCCTGGTGGTACTTGAAGCAATAAAATTTTGCAACGAAAGTGTTATGGGTTTACTTGTAAGATTTGCAATGCAAATAGAAATTATTTTGATGCAAGTTTCTATTTACTGGAAGGTATTTCTTTTTCAAGTGATTTTTTACTGAACGCAGTTCCGTTATTGCTAAACCTGCAGCAACATACAGTTTTCTTAAATTTACTCCAGCATCATAATTAAAAGAAAGATGTTAGAAACAGCAGTTGTGAGAGAGAGACTGCTGTAATGTGTTCTTCTGCCCAAATGTCCAGTCCAGCTAAAATCCATTAAAAAACAGAAGAAAACTTTTCTTTTTTGCTAAGTAGGTTTGGAAAATAGAGGTTTTTCTGTGTTTTGGTTTTTTTTGTTTGTTTGATTGGGTTTTTTTAAGACCTGTTCCTCAAGAACATCAGTATTTGTGTTTGGGTGGGTGCAAAGAGCATGAAATTTCCTGGCACAGCATTGGTGGTGAAAGGAGGAGGTGCATCCCTTTGTGTACCTGAGCTACAAAACAGAGGTGTTTTTTAACGCTGTGACAGAAGGGGGAGGAAAAAAAGTTCTGAATTCATCAGACTTTTTCATTTTCAAAAAATAAAGTCACCAGGACTCATGAAGAAGCAGATGACCCATGAAGCGCTTTGGTTCCAGGGGTACCTGTTCTGCCTTTGGTGAGAAAGCAGGGTTTTCCCGTCCCTCATTCTCGCGCCACCTTACCCACGACACGTCGCTCGCGTCGGAGGAGACCGCGGGCTGTGACGTGCGATTTGTGTCCTGTGGAAGTTCTGCTGCGCGTTTCGCTGCAGGGTTCGAGCGCTTTCCAGAGTGCGCTCGTGGTTTAACATGGGCAGACTTTTGCTGTGGTAAGCGGAGGGAAATTTAAGCACTCTAGAATGGATTTTAGAAATAAATTGTGAACATTTTCTTTGGATGATGCAGCACTGCTGAACACCTTGAGAGAGTAAGTAGACAGTTCCGTATGGAGGAGGGAGAGGCTGGTGGATGTTGGTTCGCAGCAGGGAAGTTTTGTACTATAAAATCTCATTGTTTATCAGCTCTAGGCAACGTTGTTTAGCTTTTTGTCATGACAAAAACTTTTCCTGTCTGTCACAGCTGGGAAGAAGTTGATCTGTCAGATCTGCAAGACTTCTCATCTATTGTAGCTGTTATTTTTCAAACTAAGACATTGGAAAAGCCGTTAGTTTTCCTTATGAACAAGATAGTTGCAAGTTGTTTCTGTTGTAATATTTGAAAACAGTATAAGCAAAACAAGAAAATCAACTTGCTCATTATAAACTGCAGTCTGCTAGGTCTGCCACTGGGTTTTCTTGCACTTTCTCTGTTACTTTCAATACTTCCATAGCTGTACGCAAGTAAGGGTGTGGATTTTTTTTGTTTTTTCTTTCTAACGTGACTTCTGGGAGGTTGCAGGAGGCAAAGCAGTCCCTGGGCTGAACGAGGAGAGTCCCAGTGCTACTGCTCTGTGGAGTTTGTCTGGAGCAGAAGGTGTGGAGCAGGAGAGCTTCTGCCTGAGGGCTGCGCAGAGCCCTGCCGCGGTGGCTGCGACCCTTATGAGAGTCGTGTGCTGCTTCAGCCGCAGAGGCCGAAGCTGAACCTTCAGAACATCGAGCATAGATTTCAGTGCAAACGTGTTTTGTCGATCATCTTGCCGTGGCTGCTCAGTCTTTGCTGGGTTTGTAATAATGCTTTTCCTAGACTAATTGCTGACTCTAGAGATGGCGATACCGCATTTTCTGTAGGAAACTGTCCCGGGATAATACAGCAAATTCTCCCTTTTGCATAATATTTCTCTCAAAAGTTTTTTAATTCCCTCTGTGATCCTTAGTGTTACCCATCAGTTCATCCTGAACAAAGAGCTATGGTGTTTACAGCCTTCAGGTGTTGTACTTGGAAACTGTTAGCTTAGAACTCTTGCTTTCTCTGCCTCCTTAATCACCCAACCAAGAAATATATTTTTTTTTTTCCAGTTGTTTTAATCTTTCCTCAGAAATCAATCCCTCTGGATCCTTAATCATCTCTGTTGTTCTTCTTTGAACTCACACTGGGTTATCCAAACTTGGAAGAATTTTGAATTAGTAATGAGTACTGTGGAAGTCATAAGGCTAACCAAGACTTTTTATAACACCACCAATAAGATTTTACACTTCAAAAGGAGAAAAATGGACAAGGACTTTTTGGATTTCCATTTTGAACATTTTTCCAAAAGAAGGTGCATGATTATTCCCATAAATCTAACAGATTTGTGACCTGCACTTTAAAGACTCTTTGCCTGCATGCACTGTATTACCAATGTCTTGATGACTGGAGTTTTAATCAGTCAAATCTGTCTTGATTTAGCAGGATTCTGTGGACAAATCTTTGTTCTCAGCTGTATAATAATGACAAGCTGTTTTACCAGTGGATAAAGAAAGGATTACTCTCCTCTTTGAAAATCGTAACTTTGTAATTACATGTATTTACGTGCCTTATCAGTAAAGAACTCACTGGCTGAGACGCAGGATTATTGTTGTTTAAAAGGCTTGTGGACAAATGGAGAAACCACACATTCCAAATTTTATCTTTTACAGATGCAGAAAACTAACTTCTGCTGCTTTTATGCAGCATTTTCTTTCTCAAGAGAGAAGAATGGCATATTGCGAAGTTGCATTCAGAACTTTATTCACATCAATCTCTAGAGACATCTTGGGTTTAAACATGCAGCGCAAATTTAAATGTGCTTCCATCTTCCCCAGTTTGTCTGTAAACATGGGGCAGAGGAAAAGACTGAAATATTCTTTGGGAAAAGCTGAAGATAGAGAAGGGCAAATGGGGTCAACGGAATAGAAAGGGTTTAATTATCTCTTATAAGTAGGCAATGAAAGTTGATTTATTGTTGACTGTGGAGCCAACAGTTACAAGATTTGTGAACCACCAAAATTTCATAATTCCTTCGTTACAAATTATTACTTAAAGCTTATCACTAGCCAAACTTCAAATCAGACGTTGGCTGGAGGTTAGCTAGTGATCAGCTTCAAACCTTGTCCCTTGTTCTTCATTACCGCTGTCTTTGAGACCTGAGAGGCTAGGAGTTTCCAGCTTGCGGGCTAGCAGAAGTGACGTAACCTGGAAATTTGGTGTTTGTTACGCTCAGCAGTGCAGCGTATCAAAGCTGAGCCGTTGCTATCGATAATGTCGCCTGGTCACAATGTGTTCACAGCAACAGCATTTTCAGACCTACTGAACGTTGTGGAATAGTTTGTCAGCAGAACATTTTGGGTAGATCAGATTATTTTTTACGTTGGTCTTCAATTTCTTAGGATATACCAAATGTATATAACTGTGTCTTCTCTCCTTATATCTTATTTACCTGTAAAGCAAGAAATGGCACTGCAGAGTCTTGCATCCTCTCCAGCCATCAGCATTATGCAGTGGCAATTTAGCCTGTTCTTAATGGGCTTATGGCAGGGCAAGTGAATAAATGAACATTATCAAAATCCTCTTTCAGTATGGTTGGGAGGTGCCTTATTTGTTTTTATTCAACCTATGCAGTCCTTTTGACTCATTTGTAACAAAGTGTGCTGGTATAATCTTACAATTTATGGAAACATGCTTAGATAGAATATTTGTTACTAGGATTTTTAGGTAATGAGTTGAATAGACTCGCTTTGCGAGTTAAAGCAGAGATTTCAAGGCAATAGAAGTGTAAGTGGGAGCGATTGCACATATACAGAGGTTGTTTCAGAAGGGGGATATTTAGTTTACAAAGCCTGAAAGTATCTGCTGATAAAATTACATCTTGTACCTGTTTTTCCACAGAATGTCATTGACAGTAATGTGTGCCGGAAGGTGAAAACTTCTTTTTCTCATTAGAAAGCCATTCCCTTAAAAGCGTCCAGTTAAAAAATAAAAAATACAAAAAAAAAAAAACAAACAAACAAAAAAAAACCACCAAACAAACAAAAAAATAAACCAAACAAAAAAAACACACAAAAACCTAAAAAAAACCCACACAAAAAACCCAGCAACAGCAACAAAAGCCCCGCAGCCTTCAGTCCTGTGAGTTTTCACCGCTTCTCAGCTGGCTGCAGCGAGGTGAAGGGCAGGTTACTGTGATAGCCTGCCTGTGCGATTCTGTTTACAGTTCTCTGACACCATCCAGTGGCAGGAGGTTAATGTTAGAATAGTGGGCTTATTTACTTGTTTATTTTAACGTCTGCTACAATAAGATGATACCCTTTGTAGATTCCTAAATGTTTCCAGTGTTTTCTGAACGTTTATTTAAAACTTACCTCTGCCTTCAGCCGGATCTCATTATAATTTTTTTTTATATTTTAAATACTTATCACACTGGCATAAAAAGCTATTGTTAAAAAAAAGAAAATTACAGCAAAGGAGATGCTTGCTGAAAAATGTGTTTAGTTGTATGGCCTGCCTATAAGACAGCATTTTACTTAATAAATACAAAGTGCACCTGTACTATTTCTACTGCAGTGAGATTTTTTTCCAGCTTTCAGATTTTAATTTGTCTGCATAAACTCCCCCCTCCGTTCTTAGTGGACTCTGTTTTGTATTGATTTTGTAATGCATGTTAGACAAGCAGGGTGTGGAGCAATCAATGCAGAGCAGAACAGTTCCAGTGTATTGTTCCCACTCTGACCTGTTAGTAAATTAATATTGGCCCCTTAGTGAAGAGCAAAAGTTAATTTTAAATACGTGGCTATCATAAACAGCACAGTATTTTTCTCTGTGGGAAAACTTCCAGGAAATTTTTTTCGTCTTCCCATTTTTTTTTGCGTCGCAACACTTTGTCTTGTAGAATCCTGTTTGAGAGATCAGTACAATCTTGACTGTTGTAAATGTTTATCACCGTTGTATCTAAATAATTTATAAAACCTTCGTGACTTGATGGGAATCGCTGTACGAATGTGAGGAACTTAACAGAGAAGAGAACCTTTGTAATGCCTGCTGACTTCCCTGTGCAGTTCTGTAGTGGCAATCAGCTGCTTCTGCATTACGTTATATAGGATGGTTGAAAAAAAAACCCCAAATATTAGCTCTTTTTTTGCATAAGATCTTTTTTCTGTTGGAAAAGCCCTGTAAGGTTCTGGAAGTTACCATGCAACCAAATCCCCCTCCTGTCAGAGATTTCAGATGTCTTTGACCTTCCTGCACAGGTCCCACAGCGTGCCCTCTGCGTACGGATGGGAGGCGTGAGCTCTCGTGCCAGGGCCGTGAAGCAGCTGGCAGATGGGGTCCCACATTCCTCCTCTGGACGCCTGCATCTCCCCTCGCACGGGGCTGGGGCCTTGGGTCTCTTTCCGTGCCGGGAGTGAGGATGCTGACTTGAGCACCTTGCTGAAGCAGACTCAGTTCCTCAGCTTCTGCTGTATAATTTCAGCCAAAAACCCCAAATCACTCTTTAAAATGAGCATTCTGGAAGTATGCTCCTTGCTTGGTTAATAATTAAGGGTATAATTAGTTTATAGCTCCAAATATAATTAAAATTCATTTTGCTAGGTCTAGGAATTACAAAGTAATTAAGCATTTTGACATGGCAAATGAACAAGGAACTTGATGCGGAGGAGGGGGGTAGAAATGATCCTGAAGAGGATCGGCTCAGGGTCTCGCATCTGTGACTAGCGTGCGACCTTGTGGCGTGGATTCCACGCCCTCTGTAAGGTGTCTGACTCCAGGTTCTTCTGGGGCGCAGAGCGTGTCAGTGATCAAAACTGAGACGTGATCCATTACCCTCTGCTCTCGCGGGATGTCCCTGCCGGCTTGGGGTGTTGGACTGACCCTTTAATCTTCACGAAGCCCCTCTTGAGGATGCAAGTGCCATTCTCACATTGCGTTGTCTGTCAAAATTGTCGCTGAAATTAGGAGTTCCTCCTTCTCAGCTCAGTCTAAACCACTCATTGAATCTGTTGCTAAACTGAAATGATGGGGAGTTTGAAGCAGTAACTACTTTTATAGAGATTTAATAGAAGATTCTCATTTATTCATTAATATTAATTGCTAATTATAGTGTTATTTTTCAGGAACAAATGTTCACGAAGCCCAGCGTATTCTGAGTGAAAGTGGACTCCCCATCACGTCTGCAAATGACCTTGAGGATGCAGCAAAGAAGGCAGTGGCTAGCTAGCGTGGCCAGAAAATAGCCACTGGCAGATATTCTCTTGGAAAGCGTGCGTGTTTCACAAGGCATCATTCCTGTTGTTACTTTGGAGAGGATTAGTGGAGTTTTCCTAATCAGTCATCAGTGTCGGTGGACTTGATTTGTGATACATGGCAAGCGCGGGCCATAGGCTTGCACGTTAGGCTTCAGAAATTTTGCAGCTACATTCGTGAAATGTTTGTCTTCATCTGATTTTGGTCATATTGTTATTCAGGATTCTGCTTTCCTTCCAAAATTGTCACTGATAAACTCATGATAAGATACAATAATTAATGATGGAATTCTTTCAACAGGATTGTTCTTTAATCAAACTCATGTAGTTCACCTATTTCACAATACTTTAATTATTTTTTATATTGTGAAGAGTCAGAAAATTAAAAATGGGTTTGTATTTTTTAAGGACCTTTACAATAACGTAAAAAATTGTGCTTACAATATCTATTTTTATTGAAGTGAGTAATGTTTATTTTCTTTCTTTGAAATCGCACATTTTGCCTTAAGATTATTTTCTTTGGTAGATGCCAAAGTATACCTCGCAATAGGAAAAAGGATTGAATAGTTGGTAGTGAAAGGACCTTCCATTCTTATCCTGTGCCTGTAAGCTGGCAAAATGTGATGAATTTTATTTTCTAGTTTCTGGAAAAGAGGTGCAGTATTTCCAGGTGTAACGGTGCCATACAGACAGCTCTAGGAGGAGCTGGTAAGAAAATGGCTGCTAACTTTTTAAAATAACCTCTTTCAGAACTATGTCACTGCTGTGAGGTTTTAAAATAAGATGAGAACCTGAGGCAGTTTTCTGTCAGGAGCGTGGAGTATTCTTCAATTGATTTAACTTCCAAAAACCTTTTCTGATTTATTTGGAATAAAATGCAAATGAACTTTTCTATTTTTAAAGTATTTGATTTCTCAGGCATCAGTAAAAATATCTACAAGAAGAAGTTTCAGTACTTGGATATTGACCCAGATTTATTTGGTCATGTATTCTTTTGTAACATTCAAAATTCAGGCTGTTAGTTGCACAGATCATTCATTCAGGGAACAGAAGACAATACCAAATGGCTTGTGTAACTACAGAACTCGGTACAAATCTTGCTCACTCCAGGAATGACATGCTGAATATCATCAATAAATTTGAACAGTGAACAAATGGGTACATATTATGATCTGGTCTTGTAAATGGGCAGAGAGGTAAAAATTTGTCTAATAAATTCTTAATTGTGATTTTTGAGCAGCTCTAATCAATACCATGTTCTACTTAGAAAAATGTAAATAAATTTTTCTTGACATTTCCATTAAAACTGTTACATTCAAAAATAAATTACCTGCACTAATCTCTGGCTCTTGACACAAATAGTATACATAGGTTGCTATCATCAGTTACTGTAGGTTTTCTCTTCTCCATTCCTTTCTCTACATATTGCTCAAGGAAAAAATGTACGCCCATTAGAATAACAATAAATATGCCACTGGCTCTGTACTTATTGACTGAATGAAGAAGGGTATCACTAGCAGTTCCATGAAGGTGTGTAGGAGCACACTGCTTGGAAAGAAGGAATGTTTACCTCGCCACAAATAATATAAAAGTCACACCCTGTTTTATATATTTTAGTACTGCAAATAGAAGCATTCTGTGGAAGAACTGTTTATGCAATGTTGTCACACACTGTGTATTGAACTTCTGGTCTCAGAACCATGCATTGTGTGTGCACGTGATTATCATTCTGCAACGATTACCACTATTTACACCGTTTCATCAAATAAATGTAAAAATGAACCCATTTAATGACTGCTTTCTATAAAATGGAAAATTGTTTCAGTTGTCTATAGTATTCTGGGTTCTTCCATTCAGCATTTTGTTACAGGTGGGTGAAATCAAATGTATAAGAATTTAGTTCAATTGGGTAGTATGGGTATACCCTTATATATGTGCTTTTTATCTGAAAAAGTAAATCTTTTTATTTCGGTATATATCTTAGGCTAATGATAGTGCATACAAGTTCTGTTCCTCATAAGCCATATACAGAATAGAACAGTATAATTTTTAATTTTCAGATGTCATATGGAAAAGTTCTTAGGCTCTGGGTTTGTACCTTTGAACGTTTGGCGTCTCACTCGTGCCAGGCGCTGCTGTCTCTGTAACCAGAGGCTCTCTTGGTGTGCTCAGCTTGCTTGGGGTGGTGGTGTGGACTGGTTGGTTTTTGTTTGCACGGGTCCTTTCTCTGTGTGTGGAAATGTGCAAAGTTGGTTGTGGTCTCCCTTGGGAAGGCGTTGCAGTTACATTTCCTGTGATTCTTAGCTGTTACAAATTGCGAGTAAACACAGCGCCTAGAAGGATGCATTTGTCTTTGCTCGAGCCTGCGGACTCGCAGCCTGGCGTGAGTGGGGTTCGCTGGGCTCAGCGGCTGCCTGCCCGCTCGCTGCCCCGCTGCCTCCGCCGGGCTGGGTGCGAGGGGTTTAAACCCAGAAGGCACCGACGCGAGAATCGCCCGTCCCGCGAACAGCAGGGTAAGCAGTGGGTAAGTTCCAATTAATCCCCTTTGTGGAAGTTTTAAGTGGGATTTAGTTGGCCTTTAAATCTTGAAATTTCAGCCTGTGTTAATAAAGCTCAGTAGGGCTGTAGGGCACTTAGGAGGGAAAACAGGAGGAAACTGTTAATGCTGTCATTGTGTTACATCTTTAACAAGATACCTTTAAATTCTCACAGTGGAAGTGTAACAGCTGGGAGTTCTGGAGTAATGTCCTTAACGTGCGTTTACTACCCTATTTGTCAGGCCTATTCTTCCTTCCATCCGGAAAAGCAGCTGGTATCATGCAGAACTGCTGTGATTGGAACAGCCTGTCAGTGCAGATCAGCCCCCAGGTGAGATCCCGAGCGGGGCCGACTCTGCTTCCCCGGGCAGGAGCAGTGCTGTGCTGCTTGCCGCGCTCTCCAGCTAAGCCTTGCCTGGTGACCATGGGGATTTTCAGACCTGGGCACCGCAATAACCCCTGGTTATTGTGTGTCGGGTTGGCTGGGATGGTTCCCTCGTGCTGAGAGCTGGGCACAGCCCTAGCTGGGTGCACTGAGAGTGGCCCGAAACACGGGGCTGAGCGGCCTCGCTGGGCTGGAAGAGCCGGGAAGTTGTGTGCGCACAGCTAGGTGCTGGCAAAGCTGCGTCCTGTAATAAAAGCTGTCAACCTAGTCACAGAAATCCAAAAACCTCCTAGGCTTCGTGCTGTGTTATGTGCAGAATGCAAGTACTGGACGCTGCTGAAAGCCTCCGAACTGATCACAAGATTTTGTGCCTTTTTTTTTTGCTGCCTTTCAGAAAATTGGAGTTTCCTTTGAAGGTCACTGCACGTTTTGATTTATTGTCTCGGATTCTTTCCCCTTCCTCTACTGAACTTCCTGGGTTTTTCCCCACATTTCCACCCGTATAGCTTACTTGTGCCTCCTCACTACCAGAATGGCAGAGTCCCTACCACTGGGCTTTGCTAGGTTTGCGTGGCTGGGCCGGCTGGGTTGTGTGAGCATCCAGCCGCCTGCCCGCGGACTGGGTGTGCACTGGGCAGCCCATCTGCCAGCGCCGGGCTAACACCGTGCTGCCAACAAGCATCAGCAACCGGGTGCAGCTGCTGTACGCCAGCCTAAAGCTGTCCTGGAGTCCTCTCGGTGCCTCTTCCCTACCTGTCCATCGCTGTCCTGGGAAACGAAGACCTTGACCTCCAGCGTTCTCCGCTCGCTTCTGTACGACAGGAATAAACACAGGGGCAGAAATGGGCTGAGGAGCAGTTTGACTTGCCTGTTTGGGAGTGCTGGGCTCTGAAATGGGGCTGTGTTTCGGCGAAGTTGTAGACAGGTACGTTCGTAAGAGATATGAGGAGGGAAAAGCGTGGGAAGGTTTGATACGCATGTAACGGGCTGCTTCAACGAGAGAAGAAACACTCTTCAAGGAGAAATAGTCTTTCAAGCCCAGCGCGGACAGGACAAGCAGTGAGGAGCTTTGTGATAGGGGAAGTTAGGTCAGACTTGTAGGTGTGAGGTAAGCCAAGGAACGGGCTGTGTAATCATCAATGGGTGTTTTTTAGAGTGAGATGAGCATCTGTCAGGGATGGCTTAAGAACAGTTGATTTTTGCCTCGGGGCGGAGGGATGGATGAGGTGACCTTCCAGCCTGATCTGATAGGATTTAATGCTTGTTGGTAAGGTTTTGTTTTCTTATTTTTTTCCTAACTTGTAAGGTATAGGGAGGAAAAAGGAGGACAGATCTGGTGGATTCTTGAAAGAAACTTTTTAATTTAGTCGCCAAGAATGATCTGCAGCTGTCAGGGAAATGAAGAGCAGATTATGCAAACCCAAAGCTTTCCCTAACAATGGGAGCAGTGTTAACTGCAATGCATAAAAGGCTGAGCAGAGAATTAGGGGTATCTGTCAACTTTAATATGTTTAATTTAAAAAGGAACAGGTTGCACCAACAACTTTTTTTTTTCTGCTTAATGAGGCCCATTCATAAGCAGAATAGCAGGATTTGCCTGTCACCCAGAGGAAGTCGTGGTATCTGTATTTGTACTTTGGTGCAAAACTTGTGTTGATCGCAGTGATTTAAAACTTTTTCCAGCCCAGCTGCACTCAGTTTGATGTCAGGATCCTTTCATCCGGAGACAGATGCACCCTTGGTAGAATCCTGAATATGTCTGTGTCTTTGTTCAGCCTCACAAAGTACCAGCTAAAGATTAAAAATAAACGTATACATGGATTATTGCATGTTATTGCTCGGAGATAACTGCTATGAGATAAGATCTGACTTATCCAAGACATGGTAGCCCCTTCCTGCAGACTGCAGAAGGATCTTTAGTGCAAATGTGAATCTGGCCTTTTGCATTTCCCTATTCTGCCCGTGTTTGTGGGTGCTGAGTGGTGTAGGGACAGTAATAGTAGAACGTTGCATCTCTAGGACACTCTCCATTTCTTAGGGCCATTCTTTTTCT